CCCCCCCCCTTTTTTTAGCACAGGGAATTTAGTACAGGGAATTCCCTCCGTTCTGTAAAAGCATATCTGGTAAACAGCTTAGTTTTTTCAGTTATTACAGTTTCAGGACCCTTTAATGGCATAAGGCAGCTTAGTTGTGTTCCATCAAGGTGGCAGAGAAGGACCCGTGTGTGAGAGAGGGCTGCCAGCTATTTCGCCATATGTCACCCAAGCGGCGCCGACCTCAGGTTTTGCCCTCTGGGAAGGCGGGGCGGGGGGGGGGGGGGAATGAAGTCGGAAATAGAAACAATATGTTTTGTAGTAAATAAAAGGCTTACGGCGTGGGCTTTGGAACTTTCCTCCCTGCAGTCTCAGTGTTCCGGATGGTTCGCAGACGTGAATATTGAGCGAAACAAAACTGCACCGATGCCTTTCGGCGTGTCGTGTCATCATACACAGTGTCACACTAGTCAGGGGTTGTGTTAGTCAATCCTGAACGTTCAGGGTACTTTGAAGGGTGGGTCTACAGAATGCCCCGGGGATTCTCATTATTCACTGCCGTAGATGTTTCCTTAATCTTCGTACTGCGCAGTTAAAACAACAAAAAAAACCACCCTGCAAGCATAAGCCGTCTTCATGAAAAGAGTTTTGCTCTTCTCAGAAGACACTGTTCCACCAAGAGGCTTTGGTGTTCCCAGAATCCCTGCCTTTTCCCACGCCCTGAGATCTCTAGGCGCGGCTCCCCTTCGACCGTAGCCCTTCCCTCTTCAGCAGTGTATTGCATGATCAGGACCCTGGAGTCCCTCCCAGTCTTCTCTCTCACCGCTTTTCCTGCTTATTTTGCCCTCGAGCCACAGCTGAGGCTTTCCAGGCGAGAGACGAACAGAGGTGGCTTGCCGTTGGCTGCCTCCCCGTCACCACCCTGGTATTCCTTGGAGGTCTCCCATCCAAATGTTAGCTAAGGCCGACCCTGCTTAGCTTCCAAGATACGATGGGATCGGGCTATCCTGGGCTATCCAGGCCAGGGCGAGAGACACTCAGAGGTGGGTTGGCCTTGGCCTGCCTCTGTGTAGCAACCCTGGACTCTCTCGGTGGTCTCCCGTCCAAGTAGTAGCCGGGGCCGACCCTGCTTTAACTCCCGAGATCTGACAGCATTGGGCGAGCCTGGGCCCTCCAGGTCAAGGCAGGAGGCCAACAGAGGTGGTTTGCCATGGCCTGCCTCTGTGTAGCGACCCTGGACTCCCTCGGTGGTCTCCCGTCCAAGTCCTAGCCAGGGCCCGACCCTGCTCAGCTTCTGACATTGGGCCAGCCTGGGTGATCTGGGTCAGGCCTCCCTGCTCTTTAGCAGCCAGGAAAGAACCGCAGTTGCTCTTCGCGGAACACAAACCCGGGTTGCCTTTTGACTTCCCACAGAAAGTGAGGGTGAGATCTGGAAGCTGCGGCATCCCTGGGGCTGGAGGGGGGGTGGTGCTGTGGGTTAGTAGGGCAAGGAGGGTTTCCCAGAGAAGAAGAAGAGAAGAGATTGGATTTATACCCCGCCCTTCACTTGGAGTCTCAGAGCGGCTTACAAACTCCTTTTCCCTTTCCTTCCCCTCCCCACAACAGACACCCTATGAGGTATGTGGGGCTGAGAGAACTCTGACACAAACTGCTCTTTTTCAAGGACAGCTGTGCCAGAGCTTGTGACTGACCCAGGGTCACATCAGCAGGTGCAAGAAGAGGAGTGGGGAATCAAACCCGGTTCTCCCAGATTAGAGTCCGCGCACTTAACCACTACACCAAACTGGCAGAGGAGGCCTTGGCCTTAGACCTGGGGGGGCCGATGAGGGCACCAGCTAGCTGGGCATGTTTCCCCTCTCCAAGGGGCATCTCTCTTTCCAGTCATGTTGTGCCTGTTTGGGCAGAGGGGCTCCCTGAGTGGACAGGGAGGTGGTGCCGGTTCTGTTAGGGTATGGAATGCGGAGCCTCTGCCTACCCCCTCTTCCCCCCCCCCCCCCCCCGGGACTGCCCACCCCGCT